CGGGGGCTGTGTGCCGGGGCAGGGACTCTGCCGCCTGCCAGGGTCAGCTCTCCGCCTGCCCGGGGAGCTCCCACGGAGCTGCTGTGGGGAGAAGCTGTGGGTGGAAGGAGCAACCTCGGGAAGGGCAGGGTCCATCTGCTCTTGAAAAATGCTGTGTGTGTCAGGGCTGCTCACAGCTGCTGATCACCCCCAGGACATTGACAGAGGCAGTAAATCAAAATAAAAAATCAAGGCAGGGTCTACCTTAAAGATGAAGACCTTTCCAGGTTCTGTGCTCTCAGCTTTCTCCTAAGGGAAAGGAACTGTCACTGTGACACTGAGGGATCAGCAGATCTACCACAAAACTCATCAAGTTCCTTCACCCCTTCCTCTACCCACAGACAGCACCAGCATCACCTTTTCTTGCAGCATCAGGCTGGCTCTGCTCCACTCCTTAGGAGCCGCTCAGAGGGAGCTGGCCCTGGGCAGTGCCCTGCTGCTGGGAGGGCTCTGCAGGGCAGAGCTGAGCACACAGCGGGTGGGATGGGCTCTGGGAGCACTGGCAGGGGGAGACCTGGGGACAGAGCCACAGCTCCTGGCAGGGACAGCTCCAGGCAGCAGAGAGAGGGGCAAGGGCTGGGGGGAAACTGCCAACACGCCCGGGGGGAGGCTGCCTTCAGCCAGCTCTCTGGGGCTCCGCCACTGGAGGGCTCTGCTGGGCGCTGTCTGCTGGCACCTCATCGCACTCTCTCTTTGGAGCATCTCCTCTCGGGCACCCCGACTGCCTGCTTTGCCGCTCCTGCGGGGCTTGCGAGCTGCCCCCAGCAAGGCACAGCTCTGCCGTGGGGTCCTGGGGAGTGCTGAGCCTTTCATGGGGGTGGGCACTCTCCTCTCAGAGTGCTTTGCTTCTCTCTGGAGGGGTCGTGTCCTGCTCCCTCCATCACAGCGCCACCTCTGGGCTGGGACAGAGGAGATTGCGCAGATGTGCCCACTCAGCCACTGCTCCCCTCATCACATACAAGTACATATATATATGTTTTTTAAGAGAGTAATCTTTTGTGTGAAGTCATTTTCAAGGCAGCACAAGTGAAAGCACAGGGCAGATGGGTAAAATCCTGGTGGACACTGCAGCTCTCCTGACTCTGCTCTAAGCCACAGAGAGATCATCCCTTTTGCTTGTTCTATCTCAAGACTCATCACATTTTCAGTCATCACAAAGGGGATTTCTACCCCTCAACATAAAACTCACCATCACTGATGGTTGAAAATTAAGAACACAGACAAAATTATTACAAGGACATGCTAAGCCTCTCTTCTTCAACCCACACTCTGGAGAGTCATTAGTGCAGATATTGAACTTTTCAATTACAGGTGGATTACATCTGACACCCCTTGTGATCGTGGAATCTGTCACAAGGCAGCTCCCGTGTACCCACTGCAGCAGAGCAGGTCTGAGTCCTCAGCAGCACAGGGGCAGAGGTCCTGCTCCTCACACCACACTCAGCCAGCCAACACCAACCAGAGAAAGGAAATGCATTTCAAGTGGGGTGATGTCTGTGGAAACTGGAGAGGCTTGGCTCAGAGGTGTCTATCCCAATTTTTCCCTTTCCTTTCCTTTTTTGAACAGAAGCTCCATGCAAAGCAGCAGCAAATGTCCAACAGCAGCTCCATCACCCACTTCCTCCTCCTGGCATTCGCAGACACACAGGAGCTTCAGCTCTTGCACTTCCGGCTCTTCCTGGGCATCTACCTGGCTGCCCTCCTGGGAAACGGCCTCATCATCACCACCATCGCCTGTGACCACCGCCTCCACTCCCCCATGTACTTCTTCCTCCTCAATCTCTCTGTTCTTGACCTGGGATCCATCTCCACCACTCTCCCCAGATCCATGACAAATTCCCTGTGGGACACCAGGGACATCTCCTATGCAGGATGTGCTGCACAGCTCTTTCTGTTTGGCTTCTTGCTTGGAACAGAGTTTTCCCTTCTCACCGTCATGGCCTATGACTGCTACGTTGCCATCTGCCATCCCCTGCACTACGGGACCTTCCTGGGCAGCAGAGCTTGTGTCCACATGGCAGCAGCTGCCTGGGGCAGTGGGTTCGTCAATGCTGTGCTGCACACGGCCAATACATTTTCACGCCCCCTCTGCCAGGGCAATGCCATTGACCAGTTCTTCTGTGAAATCCCCCACATCCTCAAGCTCTCCTGCTCACATTCAGACTACCTCAGGGAAGTTGGGCTTCTTATATTAAGTTGTTTGTTAGCTTTTGGGTCTTTTGTTTTCATTGTGCTGTCCTATGTGCAGATCTTCAGGGCCGTGCTGAGGGTCCGCTCAGAGCGGGGATGGCACAAAGCCTTTTCCACGTGCTTCCCTCACCTGGCCGTGGTCTCCCTCTTTATCAGCACTGGAATGTTTGCCTACCTGAAGTTTCCCTCCATCTCCTCCCCAGTTCTAGATCTGGTGGTGGCAGTTCTGTACGTGGTGGTGCCTCCAGCAGTGAACCCCCTAATCTACAGCATGAGGAACCAGGAGCTCAAGGATGCTCTCTGGAAACTCTTTGAATACAATGTACTTCATTTTATTAAGGTGCCCAATGTGCAACGAGGTCTTCCACGGTATCTCAGAAAAAGCCAGCACAAACTTCTCTTTATATGTGTCGTTATTTTCACTTGAGTTATATTGCTTGTGTTTGTTTGGGTTTTTATTTTGCTTTTTTGTTGTGTTTTATTATACTTCTGATATTTTCAGTCCTTGTCTCCTATGTGGTTTTTTCTTGACCCAAAGGCTGCATGTACATATGGATCTGGGCTCCCTTTTTTGATAAACTCAATAAAGAAGCCAGCAGAAAATTTTTTGTATTAGCCCCATCTCTTCACCTCCTCTGGAGCTGGGTGAGCAGCCCCAGCATGCAGGAGGGGTTCAGGAGGCCAATGCCCAGCTGCCCCATGGAAGATCAGCCCCAGGGGCCCTTGGGGCTGCCCCTGGCTGCCTCGCTGGGCACTCTGTCTCTGCCGCCTGCGAGTCGGGGCTGCTCCCCTGGAGCCATGGCCAAGGACAGAAGCAGGACATGGCCTTGCCAGAGCTGATGGCCCCCTCACATCTACACTGTCCTGCTATGCCCTTGCGTTTTTGTTACTCCTCAGGTCTTGTGGAACTTGTGACAGTCCTGTTGAATGTACAGTGGCATCCCTTTTTCTGCAGGCAGGAGCAGGCCATGTGAACCAGTTTATCAGAGCTGGTCTCTGTGCAAGCACCACCACAATCAAAATGGTTTCTCAGGGCAGGACCTGAAGGCTGAATGTGTCTTTGACATAGAAAGGCCCAAACCATAGGCCTCGAACGAAAGCTGACTTCTAAATGAACCTAAGAGTTGACTTCTGAGTGAACTTCCCGACCAGCATCATATCAGCATGAAACACAACCATGGGAACAACCCCTGGAAACCATAAAAGACAGGAATAGAAACTTTTAAACATAAGCCAGGAGAAAGGAACTCCTTGGATGCACCCATGATCTTGGCCAGATCTGGGACGTGCCTGAGTGAGGCAAGCCCATCCGCCAGATGTTTCCCTGCATGCTGACATATAGATTTGTTTGTTAAACTGTATATAAGCAGGACCCTCTCACAGCACAGACGGAGACCTCACCTATGAGTGGACGCACCACATAGGATTTCCCGATTGCCAGGAGTGGTTCTCTGATCCTTCGCTGTGATGGGGCTCCCCAGCTGGAGCACAGATCTGGAGGATGGTAAAGTATCAGGGCAATTGGTGATGTATCATTCTGAATCAGTACAGTTAACTCTATGTAGTAATGATTAGGTGCATTATCATGCTTATTGGTTATGCTGCTTTTAACTAAAGTAAAATAAGCTTATCTTTTTAAGTTGGTGTCTGTGTCCTTTCTGATGACCCCATCGATTGGCAAAACACTCTTGCAAAGCTGGTGTCAGGAATGCACCCAGGGAGCTGCTCGCTCAAAGGACGGGTTCTTTTCTGGGGTTCTTGATGGATTGAGGGGGACAGGCTCAGAGTCCCAGGGGGATCCGTGAGGGACCAAGGGCTGGGTGAAGACCTCCCTACATGATTGCACATGTCCACTTAGACAGCAAGAGGCCTTTGACTTATCTTCCTGGTGCTGCCCCACCTGCAGTGGGGCCGATGGCAGATGCCATCTTGGAGAGGAGATGGGAGCTGCCAGGAGAGCTCAGGGGGTCTGCAGGGACAGTGTGTGAGTCTGGGTTGACAGTGAGCAGCAGCTCAGAGAATGAGTGACTATCCAAGGTAATGCCTCCCAGAAGAAAAAGTGAACCTGTGGAGTCCACAGGTTCCAGTGCTGGAAGGAGCACTGCCCACTTGCCCCAGTCCATGGGTGAGGTTTGTCCTGCGGCCATCTCCTGCCTGAGTCCTTGATAGGCCAGCAGAAGGCACATGGCCTGCCTCCAGCAGTGAACCCCCTAATCTACAGCATGAGGAACCAGGAGCTCAAGGATGCTCTCTGGAAACTCTTTGAATACAATGTACTTCATTTTATTAAGGTGCCCAATGTGCAACGAGGTCTTCCACGGTATCTCAGAAAAAGCCAGCACAAACTTCTCTTTATATGTGTCGTTATTTTCACTTGAGTTATATTGCTTGTGTTTGTTTGGGTTTTTATTTTGCTTTTTTGTTGTGTTTTATTATACTTCTGATATTTTCAGTCCTTGTCTCCTATGTGGTTTTTTCTTGACCCAAAGGCTGCATGTACATATGGATCTGGGCTCCCTTTTTTGATAAACTCAATAAAGAAGCCAGCAGAAAATTTTTTGTATTAGCCCCATCTCTTCACCTCCTCTGGAGCTGGGTGAGCAGCCCCAGCATGCAGGAGGGGTTCAGGAGGCCAATGCCCAGCTGCCCCATGGAAGATCAGCCCCAGGGGCCCTTGGGGCTGCCCCTGGCTGCCTCGCTGGGCACTCTGTCTCTGCCGCCTGCGAGTCGGGGCTGCTCCCCTGGAGCCATGGCCAAGGACAGAAGCAGGACATGGCCTTGCCAGAGCTGATGGCCCCCTCACATCTACACTGTCCTGCTATGCCCTTGCGTTTTTGTTACTCCTCAGGTCTTGTGGAACTTGTGACAGTCCTGTTGAATGTACAGTGGCATCCCTTTTTCTGCAGGCAGGAGCAGGCCATGTGAACCAGTTTATCAGAGCTGGTCTCTGTGCAAGCACCACCACAATCAAAATGGTTTCTCAGGGCAGGACCTGAAGGCTGAATGTGTCTTTGACATAGAAAGGCCCAAACCATAGGCCTCGAACGAAAGCTGACTTCTAAATGAACCTAAGAGTTGACTTCTGAGTGAACTTCCCGACCAGCATCATATCAGCATGAAACACAACCATGGGAACAACCCCTGGAAACCATAAAAGACAGGAATAGAAACTTTTAAACATAAGCCAGGAGAAAGGAACTCCTTGGATGCACCCATGATCTTGGCCAGATCTGGGACGTGCCTGAGTGAGGCAAGCCCATCCGCCAGATGTTTCCCTGCATGCTGACATATAGATTTGTTTGTTAAACTGTATATAAGCAGGACCCTCTCACAGCACAGACGGAGACCTCACCTATGAGTGGACGCACCACATAGGATTTCCCGATTGCCAGGAGTGGTTCTCTGATCCTTCGCTGTGATGGGGCTCCCCAGCTGGAGCACAGATCTGGAGGATGGTAAAGTATCAGGGCAATTGGTGATGTATCATTCTGAATCAGTACAGTTAACTCTATGTAGTAATGATTAGGTGCATTATCATGCTTATTGGTTATGCTGCTTTTAACTAAAGTAAAATAAGCTTATCTTTTTAAGTTGATGTCTGTGTCCTTTCTGATGACCCCATCGATTGGCAAAACACTCTTGCAAAGCTGGTGTCAGGAATGCACCCAGGGAGCTGCTCGCTCAAAGGACGGGTTCTTTTCTGGGGTTCTTGATGGATTGAGGGGGACAGGCTCAGAGTCCCAGGGGGATCCGTGAGGGACCAAGGGCTGGGTGAAGACCTCCCTACATGATTGCACATGTCCACTTAGACAGCAAGAGGCCTTTGACTTATCTTCCTGGTGCTGCCCCACCTGCAGTGGGGCCGATGGCAGATGCCATCTTGGAGAGGAGATGGGAGCTGCCAGGAGAGCTCAGGGGGTCTGCAGGGACAGTGTGTGAGTCTGGGTTGACAGTGAGCAGCAGCTCAGAGAATGAGTGACTATCCAAGGTAATGCCTCCCAGAAGAAAAAGTGAACCTGTGGAGTCCACAGGTTCCAGTGCTGGAAGGAGCACTGCCCACTTGCCCCAGTCCATGGGTGAGGTTTGTCCTGCGGCCATCTCCTGCCTGAGTCCTTGATAGGCCAGCAGAAGGCACATGGCCTGAATGCCAATTGTGAGGGTGTGCCGTGGTTTGGGCCAGACAAGGAGAGGAGGGAAACAGAGAAAGAGACACTTGAGTTTAAAAAATAAACTCAACTACATTAATAAAAATATGAATAATAAAATAATAATAAAAAAGAAAATACTGATATAGATACACTATATGTAAAGTGTATCGAGCTCTCTGGATGACGATGGCATCACTGTCAGGCACTGGGAAAGGCCCAGACTGCACTCAGTGATGGACAGGAACTGGATTTCTGATCTGGAGTCAGGAACACATGGATTGAGGTCAAAGGCAGATGAACAGAGTTCCCCTCAGATGTCAGCCATTGCAGAAAGAGTGCTGACCCTCTGACCACTCAGCTTTTACGCTGAGCATGAGGCAGATGGGGTGGAATATCCTGTTGCTCAGTTCTGGGTCACCCGTCCTGTCTGCTCCTCCCGCAGGTGTAACCCCTCTATGGTCTTCTGCTTTTGACCCACCAATGTGGCACATAACAAAGTGAGCTGCCCTTGGGTGTTATAGCAGTAAGTGTAAGCGAGAGCCTCTCTGCACACCATTGAGGCTTTGTGACTCTGGAAACAGACACAGTCTGAAGAATGTGCCGTTAATGTCAGAGAGTGCAGCTAGTTAGAAGAGACTGCTAGAAACTATAATTACTGAACAGAAAAATGGTTCTGTTTTACCTCAAAACAGGACAGATAGGGATCTTTAGAGCCTGGGTGAATGAAGCTAAACAGTCACAGATGTCTTCAGTCACAAGGACACAGACGCCTGGTGCCGACTTAGGTGCCCTGGCACCCTCTGCCCGGTCTCTATCAGCAGCTCCCAAGGGGCTCTGGTCTCCTGCAGGTCCCATGTGACAGTGGCCTGTCCCACACCAACACCTCAGCTATGCCAGGGCCTCTACAAGTGGCCCTGGATGTCCATGGTCAGAGAGCTGAGCTCTGCCTGGAACGGCTTGCAACTTCTCAAAACACATGAGCACCTTTTCATCAGCCAAGATGACTGAATATTTTGTATAAAACGGCAATGCTTTCCCAGTGTGCCAGAACAGGAATTTCCAGGAAGTGTATTAATGGCAGGAGAGAAAATCTTGACCTTCCCCTGTACTTGCATTGCCAGGACGATCTCTTCAGCCAAATCCTTCAGTGTGTTCATATCTATCATTTCCCATCAGTCTCTCTCCAGTATTTCCAGTGAGGTTATCCATTTTAGATGATGACCCTCACTGGAGGAGGTTCACCAGGTTGAAGAAGCCCACGTCCCTCAGCGTTCCAACA